CCATTGCAGTCAAAAGAATTACTTGCATTAATTTTGAACAGAATCTCGGGACTATCAGCAGGTCTCGAATAGCAGCTTCAGTTATCATATGTCGCTTAAATGTATGAAAGGCCAATAGCAAATATTCCCACTATATCTACCGATAGTCTTTAAAATGCACTTAACTCAAATTTTATGCAAATAGTCTCCAGAGCCTTAGACATGGAGTGCCGATTCATATCGGGGCTGTTATGGTAGCGGTGCTTCTGCCCGGCTCCTCTCACCGACCGCCCCGTTCCTCCGCACCACAGGCCAGCCAAGTCCGCTTCGTCTGCACTTTGGCTGCAGCTTTGTTGGTGAGCAAGTTGGCCGGCCTGTCGGCCGGCCTGCATTTGTTTGGCCGACTGAACGCCCAAATTGGGGCCAACAAAGGAGGAAACGGCCGAGTGCATGCTGTCATTGTGCGTTCGCCTGGAGAGGCTGATTACGGTAACCCGCAGAAGAGGGCATGAATGCCTGATTTGCGTGTCTGGATTAATCCGATTTTCAATCAGCCCCAACTCCCGGCCAGAATTAACACTCCCCCTCTAAGGGGCCAGATGAGCTGTGGCTGGTCGAAGACAGGCTCCATAATTTAATATTCCGTTTCACGGATATAGCATAACCCGAGTTGTGAAGGGACGACCCGACGACTGCAGCATAGGCCAGATAGGCGCGGAGAACTTGTTCTGATGAATTTGAGCAAATGACGACTGGGTCTGAGCATATCCAGAGAATGAGGCCAAGAGGACAGTGCCAATTAATGAGAATTCTCGAGAAGCCATAAACTTTGTGGATCGCCATCGAGCCAGCCGCGACGGCAAGGCTTGCTGAGTTCAAGTCTACTCGACTCATATGATCGGCCAGCATACTCATGCATTACTCACATGCGCCTGGCCGAAGACAGAAGCACATTTTCAACTAAAACAGTCAATGGCAACATGACGTTTTTGGGAAATTTGCGTCAATCTAATACAATCATTTCGTTTATCAGCTAGTTTATAGGCAGGATAAATGCACATGCCCCAATTGTGCGTGCAAAAGTCACCCTGAACTTGAAGTCTCCCTGAGAAATATGACCAGAGCCAGCCAAAATCCCTGTCCTCTTTAGGTTTATTTTGATTTTATCCCCTCATAGTATTTGACCCTCTTTCGAGTTTT